GGTACCACTTTGGTAGGCAGGTAACAGCGTTCTGTGCCCCTTGGCATATCGTCATGCTGGCCACATGACCATAGAAGCATCTTCAGACAACACTGACTCCCTCAGCTAAGAAACAGAAATGAGCACTGCCCCCTAGAGTCTGGGCAGGGGAAATCTTTACCTTTTGAAAACTAAGAGATTCTGGAATAAAATGTTCATTTAAACCCCCTTATTTTGGCTTTCCTATTACCAAACCCTGCACCAGGGTCAATTTTAACTACCACTGGAAATCTCAGTTATTTATAAGATGTAAGAATAAAACAGAACTAGAGCCAGTTTGGTCTAATGATTAAGGCACCAAAGCTGGAACAAAGGGGATTGTGAGTTCGAATGCCGCTTTAGGCATGAAAGTCTCCCTCAGCTCATGATATCAAGTTTGGGCATAAAGCTGGTCGGTCAATTTTTGTCAACAGATCAACACTGAGTTGATCTGAAGAAAAAAGTCAACCCTGCACTTGCAGAAAAATGGTAGGAGGAAAAAAATGTAAGAAGAGAATTATTCTGTTATAATTATACAACATACTTTTGAAACAAGCTGAGAAAAAACAGTGTGAAATTTGGTTACAGTCAATTTGCCCTGACTTTCTCCTATATGGGGATCCTTTGTCATACTGCACAAAATAAGATAAGTATTGATAAAATGAAACAAAGATTACTTCTAGATTACTTTTAATAATGCAACAAGTTGGATTCAAGTGAGAAGGTAGCTGGTTTAGTAATGACACAGCTGTATTTTTTTAAAAAAAAATTGTTTTGCTCCAGCATGGTCCAGATTTCCTTGATCACTCTAGCCAGTTTACATGCTGATTCCCTACAAAACTCTTTGAGTTTCTGCTTGGTTGATTGGATAGTCTTCAGTTTCACAGTAGATGGATCTCTATAATTTGAAAATCTTATTAAAATACATCCTAAGGTGCTTTAGTAGATGTAATTATGGATGCCTTTTCTATTAACGACCCACTAAAAAAATGCAAATGACCAGCTGTCTGCAAGGAGTATAAATCCTTCCATTCCCCACCATCCAGTCAGAGCTGAAGAAGCTTCTTGGATGAGAAGCGAAATGTCTTCGAAGTTGCCTCTTGAAAAAAGCACATTTGGGTTTTCTATTTCTTCTTTCTTTTTTCTCACATCTGGCCAGGTTTCTAGAAAGATAGCTCCTACCTTATGGATTGACTAATTAACTCATTCCTTTCGAATGGACTTCTTTTCCTTTCAGAAACATGAAAAAAACATTCTTTTTATTTTGCAAACGTACTGAGGTAAACTGAGCGAATGTGGTAACAAGAGTATCCTTCATCATATATAAGTGAAACTTACTGGCTCGGATTAAAGGGTAATGAATCTGGTGTTGAAAATCAGATATTGAATTGGCATCTCTAAAATCTTCTTGCTTAGGCAGCCCAGTTGATAGTAAGAAGTCTTTCTTATGGATCTCTAATCTCAAACTCATATTTATTAATTTTAATTTTTATGTTCTAGCGTCTTGCCCTAAGATTGCTATGACTTCAGTGTCGCCTAAGTTTGATCATGATTGTATTAATCATTATTTTTAAGATTGCAATTTTTTCCTGAGGACTGTTAGTATTTTTCCCCCCTTTGGGCCCAAGGGTATGGCATGAGATATACCATAATGCTAGCAGAGGATAATATTTCATGCATCTGACACAAGACACGGAAGATTGCCTCAATGAACTCATCTAAGTATGAACAAAGCTGTTCCAAGTATAGGACACTTTTGAAGCTCCAAAAGGAACCTCCCACTTGAACTTAACCACAGTTGACAGACACAGGCCTACTTGCAAGATCTGCTTTCATAACCCCATTAGCTGCTAATTGGGCTACTTTTAAATATGACTCAGTGTTTTAATAGGAATTTCAACCCAAAGGTCTAACCAAAACTTACTTCCTCTCCTGGCTTACCTCTTACCTCAAGGAGAGTAATTGATGGGTTACCCCACCAATATTCTTACACCAGCTACAATGTTTGAGGGGATGAGACAGAAATAGACCTAGAAGAATCTGGAAGGCCCCTTTCTTAATTTACCTCACACAAATAATAATAATAATAATAATAATAATAATAATAATAATAATAATAAAATAATAATAATAATAATAATAATTTTATTTCTATACCGCCCTTCTCCCGAAGGACTCAGGGCGGTGTACAGCCTATTAAAATTAAAAGCCTATTAAAACACAAAAATATACAGATATCAATTAAAAACAATTAAAATTATTAAATAATTTCGGCCTAAATTAAAACCCAGAAATTTAAAACACCCAATTTAAAATCATTTACTTTGATAGCCCGACCTGGCGGAACAGCAGGGTCTTGAGGGCACAGCGAAATACAAAGGAATAAGGACACCACCATAGACGTCATCAAATAATCATCAGTAATCCAAGGGTGCAAATTTTATGCTAGCTTTCTTCTGACTTCAGATATAAATGGAGGCCATTTCAACTGGCTAATATAAGGTTGCCTTGGAGTAAAAAAACCAACAACCTGATTTATTAACTAAAATAAAACTTATGTCAGGGTTCCAAGTAATACCCCCAACGAAAGAAGACTCCGAGGCTTGAAGTTACTTTAAGTTTGCATTTTATTAGAGATGTCATATTGGCACATCTGGGAAAACCCGAATCTGAAAGCTTCCAGGTTTTCCCCACCCAAAGGAAAGTCCAAGTCCCTGCCCAGCACCCACATGTCCATCACATGGCCCAATCAATGCACTGTCCCAACTGGAGATGCCTCCCAGTTCCAGCCCTCCAGATGCAGGGCAAGATGTCCTTGACTCTCAGAGAAAGGAATGTTATTATGACTATATATTTCTCCCCTGCTCCATACAATCTCCCCTCCCAGTTTCCCACAGCACTAAATGTGGCAGGCCTGACGATCCAATGCAAAGATGGCTTCCAGGCCTGACAACTTAGGTGAACCATTGCTATGTTAATACAAACTTTCCAGTAACACTCTTAGCTGAAAACTGTCTAACTTAAGTTTAGAACTATACAAAGATTTTGAGACAGTTTGAAACAATTTACTGCATTTCTCATGATGTCAGTGATGGTGGAGAGCTGAGCTGATTTATTTCTGTACCTGCAATGTAATTGAAATTATTGTGAATTGATGGTAGCTGGGGTTTATTTATTTACTAAATTTATATGACTGTCCAGCGCACTCATTGAGTGTCTATAGTCCAGGTAAAAACAAAAGGTAACAAGAATATAAAAACCCTTCATTCATATATTTATACAAATGTGTATGTATGCCTTCATCAGTCCCTGCAGTGTTCTTGGCAAGATTTTCAGAAGTGGTTTGCCACTACCTGCTTCCTAAGGCTGAGAGAGAGTGACTAGCCCAAGGTCACCCAACTGGCTTTGTGCCTAAGACAGGGCTAGAACCTCATGCAGCCAGTTTTCAGGGGGCTTATTTAGCTGTACGTGTGTATGTGAGTGTGTATATACATGTACATCTAAATAAGCCCCTTGAAAACCAGTTCACCTAACATCCTGCCTGAGGTAAACTGGAGAACTGGTAGCGGAAATTTTGAGTAGTTCGGAGAAGCGGCAAATACCACCTCTGACTGGCTCCGCCCCCATCTATTCTCTGCCTCCCGTGTCCCAGCTGATCAATGGGGATTTTGCAGTAACTTTCCCCTGGAGTGGAGAGGGAATGGAGATTTTATAGTATCCTTCCCCTGCCACGCCCACCAAGCCATGCCATGCCCTCCAAGCCATGCCTACAGAACCGGTAGTAAAAAAATTTGAATTCCACCACTGATCAAGATGTCAGTTGATATGGCAGAAAAAGCACCTCCTCAGATCCACCACATTATGTTATTTAACAGACGGGAGATGGAGCATGCCTATTCTATCCGAACTTGTAGGGCAGGCCAAAATAATTGAACATAGGTGATCTACCAATCACCTGGCCCTGTGCTATGAAAGACTTCGTAGGTAATACAAAGTAATGGCTTAAGACCAGGGTATTTGACGGACCTTCTGCGGCCAGCAACAGCTCCCCATTGCCCGGTGCATTCCCACAGAGAGGGCCTACTCTGGGTGCCGTTGGCCAGACAGTGTCGGCTGGCGACCTCTAGGGAGCGGGCCTTCTCTGTGGGCGCACCTACCCTCTGGAATCAGCTCCCCCTGGAGCTCCAGATGGCCCCCGACCTTCGCTCTTTCTGCCGCGAACTAAAAACGTGGCTATTTCGCCTGGCCGGCCTGGACTGAATGGGGGTTTAAAATGGATTTTAATTGATTTTAGGGATTTTATGTGTAACTTTTAACCCAGAGTTTTTGTTTTATTTTTCTGTTTATTGTTGTGAGCCGCCCTGGGTCCTCTCGGAGAAAGAGTGGCATATAAGTCTAAACAAACAAATAAATAAATACAAATAAATAATAGCCAGCACCTTGAATTGCATCTGGAAGCTTATTGGGAGCTGGTGTAGCTTCTAAAATAGTAGTGCTCGCAAAGTGTGTTCATCGATATCTGTGTTATCTGGTTTAGGAGGCAGCTGCAGCTTCAGAGTGGTCTTCGGGGTAGCTCTATTGTACAGCATGTCATAATCCAGGCAAGAGACATGAGCGACTACAAGCAGGGCCTCCCAATCCAGGAATGTGCACAGTTGGCCAAAGATGGAGTTGTGTAAAGGATCTCCTAGCCATGCCTAACACCTGCTCTATGAGCAGGAGACGAAAGTCTAGGGGCAACCCAGGCTTCATACCAGCTCCATGGGGCTGGGGGGCAATGGTTTCTACTCCATGCAGGATTAAGTGCAGAAAATAAATCAAACCTGGGAATCCTTAACACACACACACATGCCACTTTATTTTAATAAGGTTGAGCTTAGTCCTGTTCTTCTTCCTCCACACTTAGGACATGTCACATTTTTCAACTTTCAATTTCCAAATGTTAGGGGTGCAGGTGCTCAAAAGTTGTGACATGCCTTGGGGATTGTAAAAATATTGTGGTTACTTTAATATGATTTAGATGTGCTTGGTAAGTAACTACAGTACATAAACATCATAACTTTTTAACATTTTGTTTGTTCCCTACAGAAAAAAATCTCGATAGCACCACACACAAGGATTAAAGAGTTACTCTTTTTTTGTTAATGAGAACTTAGTTCTTCCACTCTCAACAGTTATGGTTACATAAATGCACATTACTAATCAGTTCATCCCTTTCCAATTGAAGAAATTATTTTGCTGTAGTAAATCCAAGGAAGACACTAGAGAAACACATGCTGTCATAGATTTGTTAAAAGTTTCAGAGTAGAAAAGCACAGTTGTTTTCTGGACAAAAATCTTGCTTCCAACTCATCTGTAGGGAATATGAAACTCAACTATCTCAGATTCCTGTTAATAAATCCCACGAAAGAAAAACGAAACATTATTCATTGGCTGCATTCCTTCTTTATGTTAATCTGGATGACTTTACATATCCCCTCCCAGAGTCCTGCCTCTCTTAAGTGCCTCTTCAGTGTGAACTGTCAGGAAAGCAGCTTCCTTTTCACAGAAGCTGCTACAGGTTTTTCTTTCTGGTCTTAGAACGTGGGTTTTTCTGCAGTTTCAATTCAGAAGAAACTGCTTTGGGCTTCTGGAAAAAAAAATTGTGGCAGGAGTAAATACGAAAAGGAGTAAAATTACATTTGCCCAGGACGTCTTTGTAACTGCTGTTCTTGCTCACGAAGAGTCTGCAAGGAGGAAAAGAAAGAAGTATTTAATATTGCAGAATTCTGTGGAATGTTTTGAGAGCTCTATGGATCTCGATTATGAGAACCGAGCAAACCCCTGCTAGAAAAGTAAATGATGGGCTTTCGGTTGTAAGAGTTTTCTGCACAAAAGTTTTCTGCACAAAAAGTACCTTTTCTTTGGCTATTAGCTCTGAACATCAAATGAAGGACACACCTCATTTCAAAAGAAGAAGCAGCACGTGGACCATGGACCAAACTAGAAACCCCCAAACTGACATCTATGTGTTCCACAGCTTTGGCTGCAACAGACACAAAGATGAAGGTAAATCCATTGTTTCCTGAAATTAATGTAATTAATTTGTTGTTTTAATTGTTATTAAAAGCAAACTTTAAAAAAAAAATCCCAGGTAAATTCAGGGTTATTTTACTACTTGAAGCCAATTTCTAGTCCATGCCAGGTTGATTAAATATCCCTAAAAAAGAAATCTATGTCTTAGGTTTCCAAGGCCACAAAGCTTCTTCCTCTGTTCATTTTAACAATCTCTGTTACACTTTTGGGAGAAAAGTAATTCCCAAGACTAAAATCAGCAGAGTTCTTGGGATTTCTTTTAAATCATGGAATGCTTCTTTATTTTAAAAGAAAAAAAAACCCAACTAAATGTGTCTTCAACCTTGTTTTCATTGATCAGTTTTCCTTGGAAAAATACTTTCTGATCAGATTATGGACATTGTGAGAAATCAAAAACAAAAATCTGCAGGACAGTTGAACATTTTGTCGTAAACGTATGTACGCACAGAATATTGCAAATGCAAGTTGCTAAGATAGGGGGCATTGCTTGCTAGTGTTTGGATGATAGTGTCTTGGAGAAGACCTATGGATAATTGACAATGGACTGTAACTACCTGGAAGATGCTAGGATAAAGAAACCTCTCTTACCAGGGCTATTTTGTCATAAATTCCACAATGAAAAATGCACCTGGAGTAGAATTTTGTCCCATCCTTGATCAAGAATTTCATACGTAAATCAAATAGTAAGTAAAGGCAATTACACTGAAATATTCATAATAAACTCTCTAGACATAGGTGCCCATTACAAATCATGATGATGTCACGAACATAATTACATCATGTGTTCTCCTGTAATGGACTGTGTGGATGACATTAGAGAATAAGGGGATGAGATGCTGGGTACTCAGACAAGAGAAGCAGATGCCCTAATGGATCTGCCCTAAAGGCAATGGTGGGAAGCTTGTACTTTCAGACTTGAAAAATTCTGTTAATGTAGCCTTACAATAAAGTAGAATTGGTTCATCTAGTTATATTTCTTGTCTGGTTTACTTGGAAAGGCTGACATCCCCCCAGGTACTTTTGTATCCATACTAAATATAATAATAGGAACGCAGTGACAACATATCCCATGTGCCCCTCCCCGATATCTTCTAGATATTCTGAAATTCAATATCAGTTACCTCCATCTGAACTGATAATAGCATAGTCCGTTCGGAGTTTTCCATTCCATACTGGAATTGCAATCTTGAGCATCTATAAAGTTCCCTTTTTGATAAATCAATTTCCTAAAGATTGTTCATCAAGAATTATGTTCACCAGTCTTAAAACCCTCAAAATATATTTATATATTTTGAATTACCCAAAGGGCATGGGGAAACAACAACCATCAGTGTATAATGCTTCATAACATATTGCGAAATCTAACCTCAGAAGTTTGCCATCTAGTGGCATGTATTGAAAATTTAAAGAAGGACAATGATATTGCCTATGTTTTAAGATAGTTTTCTTTTTGGGTGGAAATACTAAGGTTTTATATTGTGAGTATATATTTATAAAGTGAATTCCAGAGTAACGACGTTACTCAGAGCGGACTCACTGAAATCCCTGGGATTTAATTCAAGTCACAGCATCGTTTAACAATTTCAGTAATGTAGACTGAGTGAGGTTGGATTCACTCAATCTGTAAGGTAATTGGAGGGTGCGGGTGGCACAAGGGGAAACATGATGACCTTGAATTTAAAAATGATGACCTTGAATTTAAAAATGGGAGATGTCTACTTGTGCTAAAGCATATTTTAGTAGAAAAAATGTTGAACATTCAGTTTTGTATATTTATTACTGTGTTTTAGATGCTGCTCTGTTTCGAAATGCCTTTAAGCAGCACCTGACAAAAATAAAAGTTTTAAAACTTCTGAATTGTGATAAATAATATATATTACAGTAGCCCAACCCTTCTCCCAAAGTTGAGCAACTAGTTACTGCTAGGTCACACGGATTATATTACCCAACAGTATGTGTTCAATTTATTTTAAAATTATATTTACAAAGAATGATGTACAAATCCACTCCTTATAGACTAGAAGTTATCTATGAAAGAAGCCAGTATAGCTTACTCAACAAACTACATTTGAAAAAAACTCTGACTTAACCTGGCGCTAAAAGAAGCCAATGTTGGTAGATTCTATGAGCGAAGCAGAGCTGAAATGAACGGACTGCTATTTATTGCAACGAGAAGTTAGGAATTGTGTGAGTTTCCTTGAGAAGGGTAGCTTAGTTTTTGATGGCTTCTCCAAAGGTTTGGTGAATGGTGACCACTGAGCCTGTGCTGAGAACAATTTAGGCTCTGACTTGGAACCTCTGAGGGCAACCTAGCCATGAATACCTGAGAAGTTGCATTAACCCGTTCAAATGATTGTCCTTGGTTGCAGGAAAGATTCATTAAGGTTATCTATTTATGATTTTACGTTGGGTTGGAGGATATTAGGTTTAACATCATTTTTCAATAAGCCTAGTAAGTAATTTGTCAATGTCTGTATGTTTAAGTAGGAAGAGCTGCTTTCTCAGCAAACATAGAAACTCAGAAGCAATCATAGAAGACTGAAGCAGGGGTGAAATCCAGCAGGTTCTGACAGGTTCTGGAGAATTGGTAGCGGAAATTTTGAGAAGTTCAGAGAACCGGTAGCGGAAATTTTGAGGAGTTTGGAGAACTGGCAAATACCATCTCTGGCTGGCCCCAGAGTGGGGTGGGAATGGAGATTTTGCAATATCCTTCCCCCAGGAGTGGGATGGGAATGGAGATTTTGCAGTATCCTTCCCCCAGGAGTGGGGTGGGAATGGAGATTTTGCAGTATCCTTCCCCTGCCATGCGCACCAAGCGACGCCCACAGAACTGGTAGTAAAAAAATTTGGATTTCACCACTGGACTGAAGCTAATAATTAATGTCAACATCTACCATATATTGCAATGTACAGTTTTAATTCGGGGGAGGTCCGCACAATGCTTCAAACTCAGTTTGGAAAATGTGCTTCCGGATGGATAGAATGACAGAGATTACATGTAGCTTTTACACTGAGCTTTTCGAAGGACTTCAAAATTTCAGAGATTTAGAACATGGGCCTTCACCACTAACAACCTGATTCATCAGTCACAATTTGTTATATACAGGATATATATATATATATATTTAATTATTTGATGCAGCTTCAGGTGACATTTTTTAAACCAAAGAGAGGATTTCATATTTTTAAAAAATGGAACATAGAAAGAAAATTTGCTAATAAAATTACAGTGCCATTTTAAGTCACTTGCCGTATCATTCTAATTTTTTCATAGAGGGAGGCATTAGAGTCTTTGGAACATTATTCTGATACTGAATTGAATATCCTACAATTGGTTTCTACCCTTCTAACTGATTGTTAAAAATAATTTTTCTCCCAACCTGACAAATATATTGGAAACGTTGGGAGTAACAGTCAAGTACTATTACAGAGTGTATGAATGTTTTATCACTTTGATTATATCTGGGACATTTTGAGATAAAGAGAAATAAAATTCAGAATTTTGCAGTGGAGAATCATTCGAAAGAATAGAATATAGAATATTCTTTATTTGCCAGGTGTGATTGGACATATAAGGAATTTGTCTCTGATGCATAAGCGCTCAGTGTACATACAAACAACAAAATAATATAATCATAAAATACTTTCTAACTTAAGATCTATGCAGTAGAAAATATATTTTATATCATGGGTCAGCAATGCAACACTTGCAGATCATGGGACTCTGTGACACCCCTAAATAATTTTTGGGAATCTTCAAATTTTCAACTATTATAATGGCAAAAATGAGGTTACCTAAGGGATTTTTCAAGAATATATTTCTGTACAATTCAGTCCATCAGATTAGGCATACTGTGGATCCCACCAGCCAAAGAGGTTCAGTTCCCAAGGAGCAGAAGATGGGCCTTCTCTGCTGTAGCCCCTGTTTTGTGGAATTTCTCCCTTCAGAGATTAGAAAGTACAAACCCTGTTGGTCTTTCAGAAGGCTTTAAAAACTTGACCATATACCTTAGTGACAAAATATCATAAGATTGCTTAGGGTTGGATGTATCAAAATCCTCTCCAATTTGATTATTTGCGGTATGAAGAAATAAGGGAGGAATACTTAGGATTTGTTCAAGGTTTTTCTCATGGTATTCAGTCAGGGGTGGGTTCTACTTACCTGTACTACTGGTTTGCAACAGGGCCGCACGGGTGCGCTCGCTTCGCTCGTGCATGCGCAGAAGCTTCCTGATGACGTCCAGGTCAGTGGGCGGAGCCTCCCACCAATTTTACTACTGGTTCTTGCGAACCGGTCCGAACCAGGGGAACCCATCACTGTATTCAGTGCTTTAAACCTGCCCCAAGTAGAATTCTTTTCATGGTTCTATTATCTTCTTACTACCAGTCATTGCAGTCAGTTAAAGGTTGTAGGTATTTTGAATATTTGTAGACACACTAATTCATATATTTAAAACATGTATTGCCCTTCTTCCCAAGAGTGGGGCAATGCATATATTTTTATAATTGCATCTAAGGAAGAGGTTAGCCCAAATGGATCCACTGAGCTTTTTAATTAAGCCAGTGTTTAGATCCAAGTGATTTTGATCATTATTCACATCACTGATGGGCAACCCAAAACCATCAAACCTCACGAGGGCCATGAAATTTAGTTGTTACAGAGAGTGGACATCCCTCAAATTGCCTAACTGGATTTTAGAGGCATGGTTGCCTAATATTAGTAGCACAATCCTTGGTATGTTGAGTGAAGCAGCATAGAAAAATTGCAATGCAACCACTAAAATAAATTCAAAAGGGAAAACAAATCCAAATGTCTGAAAAAATATGACCTCCCTTTCATAACTGGCATAACCGCAACGATCTGAAATCAGTCCAAATTGTTGAACATTATGATGCCTTCCCCTATTTTCCTGCACAAAGTTCATCTTAATCTATGCCATATTTTAATACATTCTTGAAATTTTGCTGGATGA